TTCTGAGGCGCTGCGGGGGTGCCATGTGAGGGTTATTTGGAACGCTAGTGATGGCAGGCCAGAGTGCTCAAGACCTATTCTCTGAATATTTGATGGTCTTAATGAGCAGGAAAAATACAGGACTAAGCACTTTGTTGCTTTGCTCGACTCGGAGTGTGTGAGAAATAATGGACGGGAGGAAGGGATGAAATATTAAAAGCTCTGTGATAACTCTAGGGGGAAGTTCTCTCCATTGTGATGTTGCCTAAGGTCATAACAGAGTTACAAGTAAAGGTCACATTCTATTAGAGAGAAATGAAAAGATAATGCACTGTCATTACAGTGAAGAATATATCATATCAAGGCTGTACTGTGGATCTGTTTGCAAAGCGATCAAATCTCTCTCTTTGACGGATGCTTAAAGGTTCCATGACTGATATATGGTGAGTGTCGAAGGGGGGGATGAATGGATGGATGGACAGATGGGTGGTGTGAGGATGAGGGATGGTAGTTCATGGCTATTACTCAACAAGTTTAGAGTTCATGGAGTCTCTGGCTTTTTCAGTACACTACTGTACCTGTAATAACTGTGCGCCTCTGGTGCCCTTGCAATACAATGATGATAAATGATAGGGATGGGAGGTGAAACATATGTTGTTTGTGTGTGTGTAAGGGTATGTGTGTGTTCTAGCAGAGACTGTATACCAAAGTTACCCAAGGCAGTGCTTTACTTAACACAACTTCAAAGTATTATTCATTCCTTCTTCCTTCTTCCTTTTTTGAATTTTTGTTTTGGGATTGAAAGGGAGAAGAAAAAAGGCGTGATTTTGAATGAACATTAAAATCTTGCCTCAAAGGGATAACTTTTGTGCGGCCATAAATATTCAAAGCAGGACGTAGCCTTGCGTGCCTTTGGATGTCCTCTTTTTAATTAAAGGTGTGGATTGAGCGGACAGGTTTTCCCGTGGGTTGACTCATGTCAGCCGTCCCTTCCAATCGGCTGTGAAAAAGCTGTTTTGGCAGATATGGATTAGCGTCAGAGCATCGCGGGGCAGGTAGTATACATCTCTGGTGGCACTGCCAGCATTGCCCCGTGACTGCTAATATCCTCTGTTGTCTTGTGTCTTTCGAACGTTTCTCGCTGTACGCCTGGGACGGCTGTTTGTACGGGTGCCAATCCTAATGCCCGGGCTTCCTGACGGATCAGAGGTTCTGGAGGTGGAGGGGGATTGTATGAGACAGAAAGAGACGGGAGAGGTTGTCAAAACAGCTCCTCATCCCCTCCTCAGCTGCTTCCTCTCCGTCTCCTTTTCTACTCCACCCTTGCTGCCAAAAGCCGGGAGGAGATCAAAGGAGGCCGACATGAAAGGTATCCCTGAGATTCCCTTTTTCGGTGCCCTGTCTCCCTGCTCTCTCCGTTGCATATATGGAAATGCTGAATCCCAAATACAGCCTTTACCTAGGCTGCAGAGAATGCCCGACCTCATCTGACTTTTTCTTTTCCTTTTGCTTCTCTTCCTCTCCTCCACCTCGCCTCAGCCCTTCATCATCATCATCTCTCTCCATCCTCTGCTCCTGCAGCCCTCAGGCTTCAGGTAGATAGCGGTTGATTGGCAGCTGCTGTGACAGTCAGTGGAACCGGCTGAGAGTGGATGAGTGTCAGCCTTGCACCAGAGGCTTAAGGCAGCAGCGATGTTGTAGCTCCCTGCTGGAAGGAGAAAGAGGCCCATGAAATAAGACTCACTTCTCCTCTTTTCCTTGCTTCTCTCAACTCTAGCAGGCAGAAGCTAAATAGGTTTTTCAAATGGCTCCAGAATTTATCTGGCAAACTGGAACATTTCTTCGTCTTACATCTTTTACTTTCTCTCATTCCTCTTTTCCTACCTTTGGATAAGCTGTTTTTTATTCTAGGTTGTAGCATCGTGTTATTGGGGGTTCTTTTTTAAATTCTCTTCACTCCTCTCCTCTCCCTCTGCTTGGACTCCTGAGCGTCAGCCGTTACGCCACTTGACAATTAGACATGCCGTTCCCATTTTTACTTTGCTAAAACTTTTTCCTCTTTTTTAAAAACTTCTGAATACTACCCGACACCCGCTGCACAGTAGCCCGGGGGGGGGGGGGGGAAGTCTGAGCATAAGAATGTTTAAACATAAAATCATCTCAGTTCTAAAGTGACTGTGACCAATTCCTAGACTGCGGAAAGCGTTTTTTGTGAAATGGTTTTCGTGGCATTGCAGCTTGAGCTCTGTCCTGCCAACGGCAACAATTGCATCAGTTTTCTCTCCGGCCAAGAGTGCCCCCTTCTCCACAGTAAAGAGGACATGAAGACGATAGAACGAGAAGGAAGAAGGCTGTATGGCATACTTCTCAAAATCTGGCAGACCATAAAGTACCTTAGATAGTCTGCAGAAGTGTATTGATCATAAGTAAGACACAATGTTTATGTTCTTTCCAACTTCCTCTTCCATCCCTGTCTGTATGTTTTGGGCACAACACAAATAACTGGCTACAAGCAGTGCTGGAGATCAGTGTCCTAACTGGACTTGGTAGATAAGCAGAAACTTGTTCGGAATCCATAAACGCAGAAACTTAAAAAATATAGTTGACGAATTATACTCATGGTTGACTCATACTAATATGATATGCATCAGTGCTAAAGATTTGATTTAAAAATGATTGGATTATGGCAACACTGTGCCCATATCTCTCTAGATAATAGTTTAAATTAGCATGCAAAACTTTTTTAATTAAATGCTACCATACTATTTTGTTGAAGGCTTTCATTAGGGATTCATTGAACCTGCATGTCAGGTAAACGTTAGGCGAACAGATCAAGAACAGACACAACATGATGCAGTACGACCTAAAAGGTGAAATCAGCTTTCGAAAAGTGGGAACTTTTTCATCTCTCTCCCTGGATTTAACCAAACCCTTTCAAGAGCACATAAATATTGGATGCGGGATAAATGCAGACTCCTTTGATTATGAAATAGAGGGTGTGTGAATGAGTTTAGCTGTACATGTCAGATACCAACAGAGTACTCTGGAGAGTCTGGTGAAAGGATCCAAGGCATAGCGAAGTGGACCTAATTAGAGGGATTTTGAATGTATTTAAAAATGAATCACACTTCGCCGCGACACCAACAACAGTATTCACCACTTCTCTAAATGGGCAGCTGGCAGGCAGGGGGCTTGTCAGGTTGCTAAATACTCCCAGCAACATATGAATGGGAGGCCTGATTACTTTGTCACTAATGATTCATTGGTTGGCACATGCATTCGGGTAGCGTGAATACCTCTGGGGACAACCCTTCGCTCTCGTCTGTGTTCACAGCCGCCTCCTCATCTTCAAATAGCTGTTCCTTTAATCCTTATCACAACATTTCCCAGCGAAAACATTATTTCATCCTTCAAACGCATACACAAAATCTTCACCTCCTGGAATTAGTTTTAACATCTTGTTACATATCAAAATATAAGATGGTAATAAGACAGATTACCCAATATAAGTATACATACATCAAAGTGTCTTTAATGCCTTAAGATGTGAATTTATACATTTGCAAACAAGCAAACCTTCAGCAAATTACCTCCTCAACTGTCTGATTTCTAATATAAGGCCTTCTCGTTTTGTAGCACCAGATCTCTTTTCTCTCTGATTGCCTCTCTGGTGCACTGAGCAAATTTGCGACAAACCCTTACAACCTGAGGAATGTCATTTCAAGATCGTAATGGAACCGGATTAGAGTGAAATGGAAGAAAGCCTTTACTAATAAAGTACTTCTCGGAGACGACACTAAGATCCCAGGAAACATCTTTAAGAACATTTTTTGCTTTAATTGTGCAAAGCCAGCATGAGAGATGTTGCTGTGAATTACGGCATCAGTAAACCACAAAGGCATCCTCACAGAAAGGCATCAATTCAGACGCTTCTACACCAACACATACACACTGTATGCATCATCTTCTGCATATGAATGAAATCAAATAGAGGAGCAGGGGCTTCTAAACTTGTTTATATGCAGATTTCCCTGCGTCTGGGTGATGAAAAACAGCAAATACATGGAAAAACACTTGTGCTATTTTTATCTTCAGACAAATACGATGCGGAATATACGAAAGCTGCTCCCAGCGGCGACTAATGCTTTCTTTGTTGGTTTCTCTCTCCACATCCATGGCCTTTCATTACACAGATTTGCAGGTAACACAAAGACATAAAAAGGAACCCATCTCAAGTCTGTATTACACATACTATTGTTCTGTGTAGCATGTTGTGCATCAGGCTGCTGCTGAATGATCGCGCTGTCTGCATGGAATAAGAGGTTCATCTTCTTGTGAGAGGTTTAGTAACAGGTTGTGCTGGCAATGAAAACCACTTGGCACTCTAGGTTTTGTGGTTGCATTGCTCCCCCCCCCTCACCCCCTTTCTCTCTGTATGTCACAGTCGAGGAGCATAAGAATAAGCCTTGACTCACATGTAGTCAATCAGCAATGTCCGATCTAATTTTCTTTATCCCACTGAAAAAGAGTCTACTGTTTCTCACACAACCCTAATCCAAGCTGCCGTCTCTCCCCTGCTCTCTTGTTAAGTGGGGGAGTTGGCTGTGTGGATGAGCCGTGTGTTAGACTCTGTTAATTACGGGATGCTGTAGGGAGTTCTCCCTATCTGGCCCGGTGAAACGTGGCAACGTATCACCTTTGTCGGAATGGAGCAGCTGCTCGCTTTGGGAGCCAAACCTGGCAATCCGGAACACACAGTGCTACATGACTGCAGATGCTGCAAGATTAGACTATAGAGAAAGAGAAAGTTGCTACACGACTTACAGCATGATAGAGTGATTTGGGCTGGGGCTGCCTGAATGTGAAATTGCAAAACCTACAAACACTCATGCATTATGCACCCATTCATGTATGGACACATACCTCATACAAACCCATATTTACTGCTAATGAAGACCGATAACATTTATGTGTCTGTTTTAAATATTCACAAGCAAACATGTTTTTTCCTCTTTGTCCAGCTGGTAGCTGTATATGAAGAGCAGGATCCCCACAATGGAGGGGATGGTACCAGTGCCAGCTCCACCGGTACGCAGAGTCCCGAACCCTTCGTCAGTGGCATGAGTTCGGCGTCGGCCTTTCAGCCCTACCAAACCACCAGTGAGATCGAGGTCACCCCGTCCGCTCTGCGATCCA